AGAATCCTGTGTTTCATGAAAGGACAAAACACATTGAGATTGATTGTCACATTACGAGGGAGAGATTGAAATCTGGTTTGATCAAATTGGAGTATGTAAGAACATATGATCAACTTGCAGACCTGTTTACAAAGGGGATGACACGATATCGTTTGAAATTCTTGCTTGACAAGTTGGGAGTTTTGGATATGCACTCGCCAACTTGAGGGGGAGTATCAGAGCAGATGAATGGAGCACAAGGTATGCTGGCAGTCTCGAAGAACAAGGGAAAGGAAGTGCAGAAATGAAGAACACAAAACCCCTTTACTGTTAGCTAGCCGTTAGAAGTTACAGAGTCGTTAAGTGCCACATGTAAAGGCACACTTAATTTCATTTTCGAATTACAGTTTTACTCGTTTCCGTTTTTACTGTTCTTAACACTTGGTTGTATAAATAGAAAACAGAGAGCAAGATGCTTCTCTGAGTTTTCCCCTCCAATCATTCTAGCTGCTTAACCTACCAGCTCCTCCATACCTCCTTCTTCTTTAGAACCATGAACTTATACAAAAAGATACAAACAAAAAGCCTTATATTCCAATTTGAAACCCCTGCTTTTGACCCATAAAACCCCCTGCTTTCATGTTTTAGAAATCATAAATCAGTCAACTAGACAGTTCACGATCCGGCGACACATAATTCGCGCTCTAAAGGAATAAAATTCGCGAATTATAAACAGTTCAGTCCAAAATCGCATTTTAACGACTTAGAGCGGGAGCGGCCAAGTCGGAGCAACGAATTGGGTAACCTAATTTATGCTACACTTTTTTCAAACTAACTCTTTTTTTGTTATGCCAATTTTCTTTTCAACCATAAGACAACTAAGTGACTACATCATTAAGTAGACAATTTATGAATGGTTATTCACGAGTGTTACTACCAAGGTTGTTACACCTCTACCGGGAATCTACTTGGACTAGGTCCTACCAAAATCGTGCTCCAAAACGGGCCTGCAAAACGAAGGGTATGATCGTTAGATAGGGAGAATAAGAGAGAGGGGGGGGGGTGCAAGGGGATGGTGGGTGGATCTTGAGATATATATATTTTTTTTATGAAATTTGAGTTTTTAATAGATATAAGTTAGTACATTTCAGTCACTAAATTTCTATATCATATGCAAATATATTTAGAAAATGTGTAAAACGGTCCAAACATGATGGACTTCAATCAAACTATTAAACTTCAAACAACTAAAGTTATAAGAATTTCGAAAATGGAAAAATATTTCTATGTCACGTTAATGTCATACGAAATCCAATATTTCAAATAATTTAAAAAAATTAAATACACATCATAAATACATTGTATTCAAATGACATTCCGACCAACGGGTTGGACAACAAGCTAATAATTAACGGAGATAAAGAACCAAAACTACTCGTGGACCAATTCTATAAAAGAAATTGTATCTTAATAACGAGATGCTTTGTGTTGAATCTCTTTTATTAAGAGATGCTTTGTGTTTGGATTATTTGTCTTGTATTAGTGCACTAAGCTGTGACAATGAGGAAATTAGATCAGATTCGAATTTAAAAATTTGATGGAAACCATCAATGAGGTTGGGTGACCTCAAAAGAACATTTGAGAAAATAGGCACGAAAAACTGTCTTTTCCTCCTGATAAATTTATGTCATTTGCAACAATAGTAAAATAATATAAGTGGTCAATAACATGGTCTAATTGGCTAGGTTGAAGATATAAGATTGTGTGAAAAATTGATTGGTTGGAGGATGAAATTATGTGAAAATAGATTATGCGTGTAAACATAAGTGATCGTTTATGAATAAATAGTAAATTTTTGGTGAATAAATATTAAATTTTGTAAAAATAATACAACAATATAAGCAATATTTTCCAATTAACCACTCAAATTATCGATGTAAATTATCTAGAGACATGATAATATACATAGGTATAATTAAACAATTTTTTTATCTTCAAACCCAATAGAATTTTCATCCAGAGGTGCGTGTAGCTAAAGTAGTGTTATCAGGTATGGTGTGTGTATGATAGTGATGAGATAGTGAGACTTACCATAATGTAAACTACAAAATCTCATTCATGTCAATATTTTAACGTTATCTTATCACTGTTATATCATTATGATAATATAGAATTTTGCTATCGATGTAAAATTATGGTATGAAAGTGGTGAGATGAAAATATAGATTCTTACCATATAATTGATCGTTCACAAATAAATAGTAAAATTTTGTGAAAAATACAACAATATCCCACACCGTGTTTCCCCCAAAACCGTGTTACCGATCCGATCACAAAAAACCCTTATCGAAACCCAAGCTGATACATAATAGTTTACGGTACGAAATGGTTGAATCACAGTTGAACTACAATTTAAATATCGAATACCCTACCATACACTTATCCGATACGACATTTCATGTGACAAAAGAAACCTTTTCCCACTACAAAAATAAAGAGATTTGGAGACCAATATAGGGGACGGCCTGGTTTTGTTGTCACAGGAAATAGTTTTGTAAGTTATATTAGGGACGAGCACATTATATTGTCCCCATAAAATAAGGGATGTAATTTTATTAATTTCGTTAGTTAGATTAGTTGTCCCCAAAAAAACGTCCAGCAGAAATATTTAATTTGGGGTTAATTTTTCCAACGTACGGCGGATTAAGTGAGATTTTTTTTTGTCCGCAAAATTCTATCACAATGCGCTAGCCGCTAGCAACGCATCAATATTTGTTTCTCCATATATGGGACTTTAATTATTATGAATGGATTTTAATTAACCGTAACCTTTTCCTTTTCAATCTTGGAGATAAGGGAATCCTTTTCTTTTTCCATTTGGGTTTTCTTTTTCAACTTGGAACATGTAAGGTATCAGGTTTTCCTTTTTATCTATGAATTAAGAGTTTTATTGGTTGGTTTATGATTTTCCTAGTCATATTTAGATTGTTATTGTTACATTATAAATAGGTGAGTTTTGTTGTGCTGAACATCAAATTCTGCTACCTGCTTTCGTACAAAAGTATTGATACTAGCAAAGGAGGAAGCTGAAGAATTGGAAGAGCTAGCACAATCATCAGCATATTTATAACTTCCGGTAAACTAATTTCTTGTAATTAGAGTTTTCATAGCATCATCACTGCTTGTCGTTTCTCTAAAGTTTCAATTAATCATCCCCTCCCCCAATTATGTTGGGCGAAGTTATCATTGGTTATACTAAATGCTTGCTTTACTTAAGGCTGTACTTAGCATATATAAATCTTTACTCAGGGATGGAAAATATATATGTTACGACAAACAAGCTTTAGTTAGGGTAAATATTGCTTTACTTAATCATAGCTAAAAAATCATTCCCTTCCCCAAATTTTTACCATTGATAGAAAAGTTTAGCCTCTTCCTATGCCTGTACGCACCAAAAGTGCATAGATTCAAATAATCATATGCTTGAATTGCACAACCCATTAATTATTTTATTTTTAGTGTTTCTTTCATCATGTCATCTATTTATTTTTGGTGTCATGATTCGTTTTTTATAGTTATTTATTTGTTTGTGTCATAATTGATAATTTATATTTTATAATAGGAGATGATTCCAAATAAGGATTGGATGAGCATACGGAACCGGAGAGAACCTGGATTCTTCCAAGGCGTTAATGCGTTTATTGATTTCGCATTTTCTCGTTCCGCCAACAAAGAAGCCATTCGTTGTCTTTGTACAAAGTGTCGAAACGCTGCATATAAAGGTCGATCAGATGTTCAATTCCATCTGCTAAAACATGGGATGTTGGAGAGTTATACAACTTGGAACTTCCATGGAGAAGGTGCCAGTAATACTCAGAAGTCGACAAGTAGCCAAGAACTGAATGAAGACCATATGCTCGAAGATACTCTTGATGATATGGATGGATTGTTACATGACGTGTATGGCAGGAGAGATGAAGAAGAAGACCTGGCAATGGACACAGAAGAGGCCGAAGAAGAACCTAATCAAGATGCTACTACCTTCTATCGCTTGCTCCAAGAGGCTAAGGAAAAATTGTACCCGAACTGTGAGTACACTAAACTATCGACAATTGTGAAACTGCTTCATCTTAAAAGTATTCACAAGTGAACTAACAAGTCATTCGATGACTTACTTGACATTTTGAGGGTCTTAATTCCTGATGGCAAGGTTAATTTGCCCGAGTCGTTCAGTAGTGCTCGTAAGTATACTCATATTTAAACATGACATTTAACGTCAATACCTAAACATTTATACTTGAATCCAACAAATAACATCAATATTTAACTTTTATACTAATAAAATAAATAATAAAATAATTTTTATAAATTAAATTCACTAAAATAAGGTCATTTTACTTAGAGATTCGTATATCGATCATGCCGATCATACTGGTGGTGTCACGCCGGTTTTATAACCGGTATCGGTTGAACCCGGTACAACCGGTGGCACGCCGGCCGGCGTGACAATCATGCATCAGCACCACTTCAGTGCCTAAGTACACTTCTTTGGTAGTTAATAAGAAGTGATCATCATCAATTTGAGGAACGTACTCTTTTTTGTAATCTTGTTTGTCATTTTTCTTGTTGATGTTTGTATCTAGCTAACTAGTTGGCTAGCTGCTGTTCTAATTTGGCATTAGAGCTTATCGTTGTTGCTATAGAATGCAACGCAATGCATGCTCGCTTTGTACACTGGTAGTGATAAGATGCAAAAATTAGATTCTGTGCTGGTAGTTGTTACTAATAAGAAGCTGATTGTTGTTCCTACCTGGTGTGGCGGGACTTTTAGCAAAAAATATGGCGCCCACTTTTACCCAAAATTTCAAACTTCAGCCGGCAAACCCCTCCTATTTCTTCTCCCGGTAAAAGCAGGCGCAACTTCCCTCCTACCTCCTATTTTTGCCGGCCCTAAAATTGGATTTGGCGGCAAAATCTGATCTCCCGGCCTGATTTCCTTCCTTAAGATAAACCCAAATCCTTTTAATATATTCCACCCCCTAGCTGTAGTTTCCGCAACTCTGTTCCCAACTCTAGTTTTTGGCATCTCTGCGTTGCTCCGTGACTGGGTTCTTTCGTCGACCTTTGTTGTGCTCGGTAAGCTAATCTTTTCCTCCTCCTGGTTGGTTTCCGTTCATGATTGCTGATCCTTTACATTATAAAAAGACCCTTTCAAAGCTGTATCCCTGCTTCTCATTTCTTATATCCGTCCCCTGTTCCATAATTCTTAGGGTAAAGGACATTGTATGCATTTATCCGTCCCCTGTTCTGTCTTCTTATGCCCATCCCTTGTTAATTTTTTGTCGCAGCATCTGATTTCCCATAGGCAGCTCGTATGCAATATATTCGTATACAATCTTTTTGTGTTCTCATTCTAACAGTGATGCTAAGATTTCTATTGCAGGAATGGCTCGTGCAATGAATAAAAGAGCTAAATTAAGATCACGTCCCGCCCTCATTAGTACGGACACAGAAATCGAAAATAGGTCGCGTGTTCTCAAAACGGAAGCACCTTCGTCAAACGGGGAAGGTAATGAATTTCTTTTTTACCTTCATTCAAGAATAGCATGAAGTTGTTTAGTTGGTATTAGGATCGGTAGCTTTATTTGTTTGTCTACTTGTTACAACTTTTTCGTTGCTTGCTGCTGTTTATTATTTGTTTGCATTAGCTAAATCTGTGGAATGGTCATGTCATTGGAACTTTGTGATTTGGCTGGTTCTTTACTATTAGCATATATGGTCAAGGCCTTTGTTTAGCTTTTGTTCTTGAACTTTCTGATTTTCTGCACAATAAATTCTGTGTTACCTAGATATAAAAAATATACAACTGTGTTCGAGTTCTATTATGAGTTCATGTAATAGTTTACTTTTGGTTCAACCTACTTAATTTAAAGGTAGCGGATCGACTCCCCCACTTCGTCCTGAACTCACGGAAGAAGGTGCTGGACATGAAACTGGTCAAGGTATTGTCGAGTAATTCTATTGGTGTTATAGAATGTGCAAATTTGTAACTTTTCAAATTATTTTTTCCAGGAGGCACTTCCAAGGGTCATGTTGGCAGTAGCGGCATATATAAAGGAATCGACTTGGATAAGAAAACAAAATCCAAGAAGGAGAAATTGCCCATATATTTAAATTACTAACATTCTCGTTCAAATTCGTTCTACAGGCTAGACGCGCAGAAAAGAAACGAAGTGCACCACGCAAGCAGGTTTCGAACTCAAGAAAGAAAAATAGGTACTCAAGAGTCTTCTTTTGATTCAAAGAAGCTAGCTAACTTACCTAGTAAATTGGAATCATTACTCTTCTTTTATGGTAGTTTGAGTTCCAAATTCACAAGCTACAATTTCAACGTGTGTTTTTTTAATTCTTTTTGTGATCCTATATGTATAGTACTAATTTGTTTCATAGCCTTAAATTGTTACGAATTTTATAGCTTTTCTTTTCCAAATTGAGTCTGTGCCTCCATTTCATTCAATTGATATCCTTGCTATATATTTAAATTTTAAATTTTGTCTAATTCTAATTTTACTTTCAGGGAGCTAAGAGAAGAATGAAGTTTGTTGGTGGAAGCATGGTGCGGTAGAAAGAATAGTTAAGTGTTAGTACTTTTGTTAAGAGAGATAATAGAACAATTCATGGATTTAGAACTTGTTATCTATTATTTTTTAGTATTTTTCTAGTTTCACGAGAGAATGGTTATTCTTTCAAACTATGAATGTTGGTTTTTCTAGTGTTGGATGAGATGACATTGTAGTAGTTTAGTTTTATTGCACTTTTATGGAGATGATTTTATGACATTTTGCTATATTGTCGCCTCCTAAGATATTGGTGAAGGGACACATGATCGTCCCCATAAATTACAAATGTGACAATCTCTCGTCCCCAAAGATAAAGGCTGAAGACAATTGGTCGTCCCTAAAAGTTATGTATGTTACAAATTGACGCCCATGAAGACACTTGTTAAGGGATGATTGGCCGTCCCTACCAGTTAATAAGTGACAATTAGGCCTCCCAAAAAATATAGTTTAAGGAACAATTGATCGTCCCCACAAGTGATACAGGGAACAATTAGTCGTCCCCAAAGACATATGCTAAGGGACAATAGGTCATTCATACGAGTTACATAGGGGGCAATTAGTTGTTCCCAAAAGGCGTATAAGTGACAACTCCTCGTCCCCCAATACACAAGTGTAGGGACAATTGTTTGTCCCTAAAAGTCGTAGGTGACAACTTGTCGTCTCTAAAGATATAGTATAGGAAACCACTCGTAGTCCTTGAAGAAAGCTTTTGGGGACGAATTTTGGACTCCAATTTGACACCTATAGGGACGACACGTCGATCTTATAAAAAGAAAAGGGGACAACAAATTATCCCCATATTGGTCCAATGCAATTATGAAATCAATTATGCGGGACAACAATTTGTCCCTAGAAATGATGTTAAGGGGACAACTTATTGTCGCTAAAGTTATAGCTATGGGGACGACTTGTTGTCGCTAAAGTTATAACTATGGGGACGACATATTGTCCTTCATGGACAAGAAACGAGACGGTGACTTGCGCATATCGGGGACGACTGTCGTCCCTAGTAATGGGGACGACCTACATTTTTGTCGTCCCCAAAAAAATAGAGGACAAGAGTATAGGGAACCACTCTTTGGGGACCACTTAGTCGTCCCCAAAAATTATAGGGACGATTTTTCCTATTTCCGGGGACGACTTTTGTCGTCCCCAAACCTCCTCTTTTTTGTAGTGTCCAATACATATATACATACTCTACTGCTTAATCAAGAATCGGTTTGTAAGCGAACCTCAAGTCCTTTAACAGAACAAAGTAGTCAGTGGAGGATCGAAGAAGTGGGGAGGTCAAATATAGCAAGTAGCAGCTGGTTGAGCTGACGCCTGACAGAAATCGACCGTCGTAATATAAAAACCGCAAGTTGCTTCAGGAAATTGTATGGTTAAAAATAATGAGATGCTCTGTTTGAATCTCTGTTTATTATGAGATGCTCTGTGCTGGAAAGCCTTGAGCTGTCCTGTTTTGTCTCTTGTTTGTTGGATGATTCGTCCTCTACTATTTTTAAAAACACGACAGAGAAGACAACTGGAATCAAATCGGGCATTGGAAGTTGCAGACGGAGGAATCAAACACCAGACATGGCTGCACCTTCGTCACTATAAGTTCCCCCAATTAAGCTTCTTGCTCTGCTTCAGAAACCCCTGAAAAGCAAAAGGAAAATCTGGAAAAATGGGATCCATCTCTGAGACTCCAGGTTATGACAGACAAGCGGAGCTGAAGACCTTCGACGAATCCCAAGCCGGAGTCAAAGGCCTCATTGACTCAGGGATCACAGAAATCCCCAGCATCTTTCACATCCCGCCCCACCTCGTCGACGCCAGGCCGGTCGTCGGTCCGTCCGACGGCTTCACCATCCCGATCATAGACCTGGCCGGAGCCTCCGGCGAGAAGAGGAAGCAGATCGTGGAGGAGATTAGGGAAGCGTCCGCGAAATGGGGATGTTTCCAGGTGGTGAATCACGGAGCTCCATTGCGCGTCCTGGAAGGAATGGACGTCGCGGTTCGTGGATTCTTCGACCTGGATCTCGAGGAGAAGAAGGAGTTCTTCGGGCGGGATACTACCAAGAGGTTCGTCTACAACAGCAATATTGATTTGTACTACTCGCCGTTCGCTACGTGGAGGGATTCCACTCTGTTTCATCTGCAGCCGGATCCGCCCCTGCCCCACGAGTTCCCGCTCTGCTACCGGTAATTGACTTTCTATCTTGTAAAACCGAGGTCATATCGTATTAGTTTATGGTTGGATATTTTATGGTACGATTATAGTTTTATAATTTTTCAATATAAAAAAATGTATTCTTTTTTAAAATTGTCAACTTATAAATTGAACATGGAAAACCAAGGCGCAAAAGATATATAGAGTAAAATTAATAACTTCACTAGTTCATTTTAAAATTAAGTCTCTAATTAAACCCAATTACAAACGTTACCTTTTACTTCATTTGTCAGAGAGGGGGCTCGGTCTAAATTTGTTGGAGAGAGATGAGTGATGCTTTAAAGAAATTGAGAAAAGGGTGAAGCAAATGTTGATTACTAGGGGCGGAGTCAGAATTTCAAGACGGGGGGTGTGGGGGGCGAAAATAATTAAACAAAATGTATGTAGTCAAGGTGGATCAAACCCATGTACTTTAAAAGACAAGTAAAGTTTGTCTACCACTAGACCACATAACTATTACACAATAGAATTTAATGAACAAGTTATACGTATTAAATTTGTACTAAATATCCTTACGATCCTAAGGGCCGGAGCCAATCCTGGGGGACCGGGGCCCACCCTAGCTTGAATGTAGCTCTGACCCTGTTGATTACAGTTGAGTTGGAGAGAAGAGCTCGATCTGCCCGATTTTCATTTTTTTCTCTGCTAAGTTTCTCTGAAAACGACTTCATTTTTTATGTTGGAGAAATTTTTACAATTGTTTCCCAACTGTTTGATATGATTAAAATTAAAACCCACAAGAATACAGTAGTTCATAGGTTCAACATCTAAAAATCGGTCGACACAATTTTTTTGAGAGGTACTAATTAACGCCCTAAATTTTTAAAATTTGTCGCCCTAATTTAGACAAGTTGACGTTTTTGCCCCCTAAAAGTTCCCAATTTCTAATCATATTCGTCACCCTAATTTATCTCATTTCAGCCGTGGACCGCCCTAGAATTGACCACCCGTCAACCCAAGAATCATCGCCGAGAAGAATCATCCCCCGCCGTCGCCCTAGAAATCATTGCTCTCCCTGAGAATAATCATCATTGTCCTCCTGGAAGGGATTCCTCGCAGAGTCGTCAGCTGCTGAGAAGAAATAACGTCGTCGTCGTTCGCCCTGGAAGAGATTCCTCCAGCCATGCCTGCGCGGTGTGCCGATTGAGGACGCGAGAACATCAGTCGTCGCCCTGGATTCTTCCTCCTCCTTCCTCGAACGCGAGCAACGAAGGCAGCGGGGAGGATTGACGGCGTCGACAGGACAGCTTCCGCCGTGAAAGATTCCTCGCGGCGACGATGACTCTCGAGCGGAGCGGCAGCGGTGAAGAATCCACGGCGATGACAAGGCAGCGGAACAGCGTCAGGCAGTTTAAAAGTTCCGCCGTTAGGATGATGACTCTCGAGCGGACGGCGGTTGCAGGCGCCGGCGACGGGGTAGAATTCAGGGCGAATGGGTCGACAGGGCAGCGGAGCAGCTTCAGGCAGTTGAGAAGTTCAGTTGATTTTGTTAATTCGTCTGTTTTAGGGATTAGGCCGAGTGGGGTAAATTCGTCTGTTTTGTTAATTTAGGGCGAAAATTTTAAAAACTTAGGGCGTTAAATAGAAATTCAGATTTTTTTACCCTCCCTCACTGCTCATACCATTCTGAATTTGACTCCTGTAATTGATCTTCTACGGTTCAACCGCCATTATGATATGATTTTTTTTAATTCCTGCTACCATCTTGGATACCCGAAACAAATGTTGACATATGTTTGAGCTATATAACGCAGCGGAATCGCTCTGGAGTACTGCAAGGAAGTCCTGAAAGTCGGAGATGTAATTATTCTGGAGTTGTTATCGGAGGCACTGGGTTTGAATCCGAATCAGCTGAAAGAAATGGGTTGTGCTAAAGGGATCTATGTCGTCAGTCACTATTATCCAGCATGCCCACAGCCAGAACTGACTCAAGGAACGAGCCTGCACCAGGACAACGACTTCATCACCGTGCTTTATCAGGATCACAATGGCGGCCTCCAGTTTCTGCATCAGGATCACTGGGTCGATGTGCCTCCCGTGCAGGGGCTTTTGTCATCAACATTGGAGATCTGCTCCAGGCAATTATACTTCCGATTTCTTTCTACTTTAATTCGTTTGTGTTGATCTTAATTAACGCGATTAATTGCGCGCGACTTTTCAGTTGATATCGAATGACAAGTTCGTCAGCATGGAGCATCGAGTCGAGTCGAAAACCATTGGGCCGAGAGTCTCCGTGGCATGCTCTTTCACGACTGGTTTTGTGATGCGGAACAACATTCGATGGGCCTTAGGCCTAGTATGGGCTTAGTAATTAGGGACTTATTATTAGTTAATTGCTAGATTATTATGGTTATTTGAGATATTCGTATTAGTTTATTGTGTCTTGTTGAGGAAGTTATAGTTTATTTTGTTGGGTTAGGTTTAGATTACCTTGTTGGAGAGGGAAAGGGTTATGAGAGTAGTCCTATGTACATTGTTCTTTGGTTTTCGTTAAGCAATGAATAAGAGTAAAGTAGATTAGAGTAATTTAGCTATCTTTATCGCGTTTCATTAGTTTCGTAGAAGAGTTCGAGTTCCACGATACGTGAGATTCCGCTATCACGCATCAATTGGTATCAGAGCCTGGTTAGGCGCTGAATCTGCTATGCCGATTTTCACGCAACATCCAGGAGGAGAAGGTTACACGCCTTGGGCACGGAGTTACGAGGAGACCCTTCCTCGTCGCGCCGTTGGCTGCCCTAGCTATCCGTCTCCGTTACGTCCGCTACCGTCGTCACATCCATCGTCTTCACATCACCCGCCATGGTCGTACGATCATGACCTTGAGAGTTTGATCAAAGCTACACAAGCTGCTTCGCCGTACGCCGCTGCGGGTAGATTTCAAGATCCCTACGCGTACCATCACTATCAAGATCTTCCACAACCTGAGTTCCTTAGACCGCCGTGGAATCCTTGGGTTCTTGCTCAAAGTCGAGCTCAACAACCGTCATCCGCTGCAGCTGAAGGCAGTGGCGGATCCAGGAATTCTACGTAGGGGTGTCCTCTATAAAAAATTATATTAAATATTAGAATTAAATTAAATAATTTTTAAATATGAAAATATCTAACTAATAAAGTTTCATTAAAAGTTCAGACGTGTTTCATCAAATGATAAAATGCATTCGGTGTTTATACTGCTCAACAAATATCTCTCGACATATCTTACTAGACTAGGATATCCCGTAATTGAGTTTAATCGTTAGGTTTTGAAAATAATTTGAGATAAGAATAATATTTTACTATTATATTTGGATCTAAAACACAATAACAAATGAGTTGTAGCGTAATTGAAAATATATTAACTAATAGTGGCAGTGTCCCAAATTTAAATCACATAAACTACTACTTAAATATTATTTATACCAATACTCAAACTACTACGGGAGATTGGATAATCATTTTCCCAAAATTTAAAGGTGTCCCACTACCACTTAAATATTTTTTTTCTCATACGCAAATTACTATCGTAGGTTGAATAATCGTGTTTCCAAATTTTAGGGGTGTCCCGGGACACCCCTAACCATGCATGTATCCGCCACTGGCTGAAGGTCCTGCCCTATTCACCTCCTGCCCGACGCTGTTTCATGAAGAATCAGCCTGGAACTCAGCAACCCATTCGACGTTGACGGAGCTTCGCCTCGACACTAATGGACGAGAAAAGACAGGGGCGACGACCAGCCAGGTTGTGCAATCGAAGAAGTTTCGAGTGGAGGCTTCTTTCGTACCGCCACCGGTGGACGAGACAAAGGAGGAAGAGTTGTCAGTTCTATCGCTACCTATCACGGGAATGCCATGGAAGCCTTCCATCATCGTGCCGTCCGAGAAACCCTCATGGGAGGAGCAACGTGAGAACTGGGATCGAAAAGTGGCAGAGCTCTCCGCCCGGTACATGGAGATCCCCGTTGCCGTCGTTTCCAATGAGCCGGTCGCCACCTGTGAATCCTTGCCGCCGCGAGATGGAGACTTGTTCGTGTTAGAGAAAGCTCAGAAGGAAGAGGGTGAGAAACATGGTATCGGAAACGTGCAGGAGGAGCTTCTCCACAAACGTTGTTCGCCCGACATTGCTTCTCCAAACAAAGGGCCAACTCTCGCTCCAACGTCACCGAAGCTGCAAGAAGCCGCCACTACCGATAGAAGCCTGCGGGTTCCAAGTCAACGCAGTCGACGTTGAGATTGTTAAAGCCCAGTACCGTGAGCCGGCCCATGCATCTGGCCCATGCAGGGGACGTGTAGTTAGGGTTTCTGGAGATCCCTAATAATGCCGAGTATGGCCATATATATATGCTTGTAATTGTAACGTGATGATTAACTAAGCAATACAATCAGTAGCTCGGAGAGTCTTGAGGCTCTCCCGTGGATTAGTCCTGATCACTCAGGGATACCACGTAAATCGATTTGTTCTTTGTCATTCTGCTATTTCGTTATGTCTAACATGGTATCAGAGCTGTCGTCCGGTGATTCTGATCGCCTCAGTATTCGTCTCGATCCAAAGAATTATGCTGTCTGGGAATTTCAGTTCCGTATATTTGTTGAAGGCAAGGGTCTCCTGTCGATCCTTGATGGTACTCAGAAGAAGCCCGCATCGCCACCTGCTTCCGCGCAAGAGGTTGATCGCTGGACCATGAACAACGCGAGGGTAAAAAACTGGATTATGCAATCGGTTGATCCCTCGATCGTGTTGGGACTTCGGCTGTTCTCTACAGCTTTTGAGATGTGGTCGCATCTTGCTGCGACTTACACTACCAAGAACTCAGCTCGGCAATTCGAAATTGAGAACGAGTTGTCTCTGTTGAAGCAGGGCGATATGGATGTCGCTACTATATTACAATGATTCAGTTCGCCTGTGGACCGAAGAAGATTTGCTCTTGGCGTCTCTCCGATCCGCCCAGGTCACTGAGGAAGTGCGTGCTGATCGGAATCACTCGCGGTTGCTGCGGTTTCTCATGAAACTCCACCCTGAGTTCGAACCGGTTCGCTCTAGTCTGCTGAATCAGGAAAATCTCCAGTTTGAAGGTGTCTTGGGCCGCTTGCTTCAAGAAGAGACGCGTCTCCGCACCCAGGAGAAGCTGGATGCGCGTCCTCGAGGAGGCGAGGCTGTTTTCTCCGCCGCAATCGCTGCGGACTTGGATGCTTCTGCATATGCTGCTCATCGGGCTCAATTCACTCCGCGACCTGCCTCCGAGATAACTTGCATCTTCTGTGATAAGAAGGGGCACGTACAGAAGCACTGTCGCAAGCGCAATTTTTGCGTTTATTGCAAACGTTCAGGGCATATCATTAGTGACTGCCGAACCTTGAAGAGTCGAAGCCAGTATGCTTCGAATGGCTCCTCCCACCCTCCGCGAGCTGAGTCTGGTCCTCGTTCAGCTCGTAACCCCGCTGCTCCCGCTTTTGCTGCTCAGCCTGCCACCAATGCGTCAGCTTTGTCCGCTGATGCAGTTGAGAAGATGATCCAATCAGCCTTGCAAAAGTCGATTCCCGATGCTATTACTTCCGCATTTGCTGCCCTTCAAGTGACAGGTAAAACTAAACCTTGGTTGCTTGACTCAGCCTGCTTTAATCACATGACTAGTGATTCAAAGATACTACGTCATGTTACTCCTGTGAAGAACTTAAGCTTGCAGGTTGCAAATGGATCTCATATTCCCGTTTCCGGACTTGGTTCTTTGTTTAATTCTCATCTTAAGCTGAATAATGTGCTTCATGTTCCGAAATTGTCGCTAATCTTGCTTCTGTTGGCCAGCTTACTGATGAGAACTGTTCTGTGTTATTTGCACCATCTGGGTGCTTTGTTCAGGATCTGACGACGGGGAGGCTGATCGGAAGGGGGAGTAAATGCGGTCGTACTTTCACACTGGAGGAGTTGTCGAGTCGAGCTCCTGGGTCAGTTGTCGAGTCCTCTTCTTGTCCGCAGGTGTCTAGGGTGTCGGAATCTTTGTTGGTTTCTCCTGTTATTTTGTCCAATGAGTCTAGTCCTTGGAGTTTATTCATCGGCGTTTAGGCCATCCAAATTCACATCGTTTGCAATTTATGTTCAAACAGAATTTACTTGGTAATAAATCAGTTGTTCCTTCGGTCCATCCTGCCTGTTCTGGTTGTGTTGAAGCTAAAGCTAAGAGCATTTCATTTCCGTCTAGCACAACTGTGATCACCGAACCATTTCATCTAGTGCATACTGATCTATGGGGGCCTGCCCCAACCACATCCCGCAATGGTTACAAGTATTTTGCCCTTTTCATAGACCATGCCACTCGATACACCTGGGTGTACTTCCTTCACTTGAAGTCAGAACTATTTGATGTTGCCGTGGAGTTTTTGACCATGATTCGTACACAGTTTGGACGGAATGTGAAGATGCTGCGATCGGATCCAGGAGGGGAGTTCAGCTCCACTCCTCTGCTCGCTTATTACAAGACTCACGGCATTCTTTGCCAAAAGTCTTGTCCCGGAGTTTCGCAGCAAAATGGCGTAGTGGAACGGAAGAATCGCCATACTGTTGAGCTCACCCGAGCTCTTTTGCTTGCTGCCTCAGTACCCGCCCGGTTTTGGCCCGAGGCAGTGGCCACTGCCATTCGACTGATTAATTACCAAGTAACTCCTGTCCTGAAGAATGTTAGTCCGTACTTTGCTCTCTATCATACTCATCCTCCTTATTCCCGTCTTCGCGTCTTCGGTTGTCTTTGTTTCGTTCTTCTCCCTCGTCGAGAACGGGATAAACTGTCGTCTAAAACCTCTCGGTGTGTCTTTTTGGGGTATAGTGATATCCACAAGGGTTATTTGTGTTTTGATCCTTCTCTTGGTCGTATTCGTATTGCCTGTCATGTTGTCTTTTTTGAGAATGTCATGTTCTATGTGTCCTCGTGTAGTCCTTCTGTGTCTGGTTTGTTTTCCTCGACTCGACTCCCTTGCTTTGATGAAGATGATGATGATGCTGTGGATGCACCGCTCCCCCCCGAGACGCCTCCCCCCTCCCCAGGTACTGCCGGTTCGTCCCCTAGCCTTGGTTCGGGCTCGTCCTCATCATCCAGCTCAGGCTCCTCTTCTGGCGCCTAATCAGATGCGCCTCCTGCCCCTGTGGTCCCTCG